GGTGTCACACCCCTGTCCCCAGGGGTCACACACCTGTCCCCAGGGGTCACACACCTGTCCCCAGAGGTCACACACCTGTCCTAGGGGTCACACACCTGTCCTAGGGGTTCAAACACCTGTCCCCAGGGGTCACACACCTGGGGCGGGGCCAGAGAAGGGGTGGGGCTGGAGGGGGGTGGGGCCTTGAGGGGCCCAGGTGACAGGGCCACACCTGTTCCCAGGAGTAACACCCCTGTCCCCAGGGGTCACACACCTGTCCCCAGGGCTCACACCCCTGTCCCCAGGGGTCACACACCTGTCCCCAGGGGTCACACACCTCTCCTAGGGGTCACACACCTGTCCTGAAGGGGTCACACACCTATCCCAGCAGGTCACACCCCTGTCCCCAGGGGTCACACACCTCTTCTAGGGGTCACACCCCTGTCCCCACGGGTCACACACCTGTCCTGAAGGGGTCACACACCTGTCCCCAGGTGTCACACATCTGTCCTAGGTGTCACACACCTGTCCTGAAGGGGTCACACCCCTGTCCTGAAGGGGTCACACACCTGTCCCAGGTGTCACACACCTGTCCCCAGAGGTCACACACCTGTCCCCAGGTGTCACACACCTGTCACGGCGCTGCAGGCTCAGCTGCTGCCGGCCCAGCTCCACCTCCAGCTGTTGCTCCGCCCCTTCCTGCTCCTGCCGCACCAATCGCCTGCAAGAATGAGGGTTAGGGGGTGGGGACAGGCCTGAGTGGGCGGGGTCACCTTTGAGGGGGCGGGGCCAGAGCTGGGCACTCACCTGAGCACAGGTGCCTCTGGGCCCAGCTGCTCCTCGGTGTCCATCACACGGCGCTCTGGGCAGGGGGGGACACTGCTCAGCCCAAGGGGACACACCTGGGTTTGGGGGGGCTCAGGTGTTCAGGGGGGTCACTCAGGGGCTTGTGGGAGAGGAGCTCAGGTGGCCCAGAGCCAGTCAGGAGCTCAGGAGGTCACTCAGGTGTTGGCAGAGGTCACTGAGGCGTCCAAGGGCGTCCCTCAGGTGCCCAGAGGTGTCATGGGGGGCACTCAGGTGTCAGCAGTGACACGCAGGTGCTCCAGGGGGTCCTGAGGGGTCACTCAGGTGCCAGCAGTGACACTCAGGTGCCCAGAGGTGTCATGGGGGTCACTCAGGTGTCAGCAGTGACACTCAGGTGCTCCAGGGGGTCCTGAGGGGTCACTCAGGTGCCAGCAGTGACACCCAGGTGCTCCAGGGGGGCCCTGGGGGTCACTCAGGTGTCAGCAGTGACACTCAGGTGCTCCAGGGGGTCCTGAGGGGTCACTCAGGTGTCAGCAGTGACACTCAGGTGCTCCAGGGGGTCCTGAGGGGTCACTCAGGTGTCAGCAGTGACACTCAGGTGCTCCAGGGGGTCCTGAGGGGTCACTCAGGTGTCAGCAGTGACACTCAGGTGCTCCAGGGGGTCCTGGGGGGTCACTCAGGTGCCAGGGGCTCACCCCAGCTCAGCCACTTCTCCTCCATCTTCTCCAGCTGCACCAGTTCAGCCTCCAGGTGGGCTGGAGCCTGTGGGGGGACAGGGGAGAGGGGTGATGCCAGGGCACCCAGGTGTGTCTGGGACCCCCAGGTGCGTGAGGGACCTCCAGGTGTGTGAGGGACCCCCAGGTGTGTGAGGGACCCCAGCCCGGGTCTCACTCACGTGTGTGACACGCAGATGCTTGAGCTCCTCCATGATGGCATCGAGCTGCTGGCAGTGCTGCCACCTGGGGGGGAGGGGACACAGGGGTGACCCATGACCTGTGTGGGTCACCTGGTGCCACCCCCAGCCCCACCTGCATCCCTCAGGCTGTGTCCCCAGCCCCACATGTGTCCCCCAGGCTGTGTCCCCAGGCCCACCAGTGTCCCCAGCCCCACCTGTGTCCCCGGCGCAGGTTTTGCAGCTGCTCCCACTGCTGCTTTGTCCCCTCCAGGTCCTGCTGCTGCTCCAGGCAGAGCCCGCAGCGCCTGCAGGGGGGTCAGGGGTCACCAGGTGTGTTTGGGAAGGGTCAGAGGTCACGTGGGCACAGGTGAGGTTGAGGAGGGTCACAGGTGTCCTCACTCACCTCTGGCCTTTGGCGTCCACCTCCTTCCCTTGCAGCTGTGCTCTCTGCAGTGACTCTGGGGGTGACAGGGGGGTCACAGGGGCCAAGGGGATCCCACCACCCCTAGGTGGCCACAAGGATCAGGGAATCATGGGGGTCAAGGGGGGTCAGAGGTTCAGGAGGCATCAGGGGAGGTTTTAGGGGGGCCCCAAAGACCCCAGGGACCCCCAAGCTCACCCTGCACCTGCTGCCAGGACCTCTCCAGTGCCTCCTTGTGCTGCTCCACTGTGGGGAGGGGGAAATGAGCTCAGAGCCCTCTGCCCCCACAAACCCCTCGGGGTCCCTACCCACCACCCAAGGACCCCAAGACCCCTCTGTGTGTGTCCCCAGCCCTCTCAGTGTCCCCTCCAGACCTCTCAATGTCCCCCCCAGGTGACTCACGCTGCTCCAGGTGCTGGCGCAACCCCTCACTGCAGTTTTGTCCCTTCACCAGCTCCTGTGTCGTGGCCTCACGGACTGTGGGACACAGTGGGATGGACAGAGGGACATGGGAGGACGTGGCAGGCACACGAGGGAGCATAGGACAGGTGGGACATGGGAACATGGAGCACAGGGGTCCTCTCACTCACCCTTCTGCAGGCTGTGCACCTGCCTCAGCAGCACCTCCAGCTGTGGGATCCTCTCAGGGGGACCTGAGGGGGGAACTGGGCAGGGCACAGGGGCACTGCCTCTCCTGGGGACACCTGAGACCACCTTGTCCCTGGGGCGGGGGGACACTGGGACACATGGTGGTCTTGGGGGGTCTTGGCCGTAGAGCCCGTCACTGCGTGGGTCCAGGTCCATCACTGCAGCCTGGAGGGACACGGTGGTGACACAGGGGTACATGGGGGGACACAGGGGATGATGATGGTGGGCACTGGCTTGTCCCCTCCTGTCGCCTTTGTCATCCTCTCCATTCCTCTTTTTCCACCCTCAGCCCTGCATTTTCTGTCATGTTTCACCATTTCCTCCCTCCTTATCTTTTTTCTCCAGGGTTTCTCCCATTTCTGTCACCTCCTTCCTCCAGTTCCTGCCGCCTCTGTCCCTTCCATTTCTGTCCCCCATTTCCCTCTCCAGTCCTTTCCCTTCTTGCTCCATTTTCTGTCGCCAAAACCCTCTTTTCACACTTTTCTGTCTTGTGTCCTTACATTTTGTCCCTTTCTATCCCCCATTTCCCCACACCTTCTTTCTGCAGCTTTCTCAGCTCCTCTCCTTCCCATTCTCTCAGGTTTTCCTCCCTTCTTCCCCTCACGTTTTCCCACTCTTTTCCCCTCACGGTTTCCCGCTCTTTTCCCTCACATTTTCCCGCTCTTTTCCCTCACGTTTTCCCGCTCTTTTCCCTCACGTTTTCCCGCCCTTTTCCCTCACATTTTCCCGCTCTTTCCCCCTCACGTTTTCCCGCTCTTTCCCCCTCACGGTTTCCCGCTCTTTTCCCCTCACGTTTTCCCGCCCTTTTCCCCTCACATTTTTCCACCCTTTTCCCCTCACATTTTCTACTTTTTCCCTTAATTTCTCCCTAATTTTTCCCACCCTTCCCCCTCATGTTTTCCTGCCTTTTCCCCCTCACATTTTCACACCACTTCCCTTCTATTTTCACACTTTCTCCCTCACATTTCCCCACCCTTTTCCTCTCACATTTTCCATCTTTCCCCTTCACATCTTCCCACCATTTTCCATCCATTCTTTGCCCTATTTTTTGTCCCCTTTTCCAGTTGTTTCTCTCCCTTCCTGACATCATTTTCTGTCCCCCTTTCACCCCCAATCTGTTACTTCTTTCATCATATCCTCTTCCCTCTTTTCTGCTCCCTTTCCTGTCTATTTTTGCCCTCCATTTCTTGTCACCTCTTCCAGCTTTTCCTGTCACATATTCCCACTGTTTCCTCAAATATTTTCCCACTGATTTCTGTCCCCTCATCCCTCTCTTTTCTGCCCCATTTTCCCTCCTTTCTATCTGCTCCCCACCTTTTCTTTCAGGTTTTCTCCCCATTTTCTCTCCTGCATTCCTCTCATTTTCAGTTCACTTTTCCCCTTCTCTGCCGCTGTTCTCATCTCCTTTCACCCCTTCCATCATCCGATCAACTCTCAGGCTGTGTCCCTGCCATCCCCTCACCCCTCAGGCCGTGTCCCCTCATCCCTCAGGCCATGTCCTCCTGTCCCCTCACCCCTCAGGATGTCCCTGCCATTCCCTCACCCCTCAGGCTATGTCCCCTTCTCATCTCCTTTCACCCCTTCCATCATCCCATCAACTCTCAGGCTGTGTCCCTGCCAACCCCTCACCCCTCAGGCCGTGTCCCCTCATCCCCTCACCCCTCAGGCCATGTCCCTGCCATTCCCTCATCCCTCAGGATGTCCCTGCCATTCCCTCACCCCTCAGGCCGTGTCCCCTCATCCCCTCACCTTCAGGCCGTATCCCCACATCCCCTCACTCCTCAGGATGTTCCCTGTCCCCTCATCCCTCAGGCTGTGTCCCTGCCATCCCCTTACCCCTCAGGATGTGTCCCCACATCCCCTCACCCTTCAGACCATGTCTCTGCCATCCCCGCACCCTTCAGACGATGTCCCCCCATCTCCTCACCCCCCAGGATGTCCCCCCCATACCCTCACCCTTCAGGCTGTGTCTCTGCCATTTCCTCACCCCTCAGGCCGTGTCCCCTCATCCCCTCAGGCCATGTCCCATCTCCTCACCCCTCAGGATGTCCCCCCCATACCCTCACCCTTCAGGCCGTGTCCCTGCCCTTCCCTCACCCCTCAGGATGTCCCTGCCATCCCCTCATCCCTCAGGCCACGTCCCCCATCCCCTCACCCCTAAGACTGTGTCCCCTCACCCCTCAGGATGTCCCCCTGTCCCCTCACCCCTCAGGCCGTGTCCCCTCACCCCCCAGTCCCCTGGACTCAGGACTCTCCCCGGGGTCTCAGTGTTTATTGTCAGCCCTCGGGCTCGGGCCCCTCGGGGCGCGCGGGCGCGGCGCAGAACGGTGCCGGGTAGCGGATGAACAGCCAGTCCTCCTCCTTCTTGAGCCAGCGCAGCAGCTTGGTCAGCACGGCGATGGCGCCCGCCTTCGTCACCAGTGGGCTGAAGCAGCTGTACAGCTCGAACTTGCTGGTCACCTGTGGGAACCCACGCCGGTTAACTGTGGGATCTACTGATGGCACTGACAGTGAAAATCCCGTTAATTGTGGGATCCACTGATGGCACTGACAGTGAAAATTCCATTAATTGTGGGATTTACTGACAGCACCTCCAGTGAGCATCAGTGCGATCTACTGATGGCACTGCCAGTGAAAATCCCATTAATTGTGGGATTTACTGACAGCACCTCCAGTGAGCATCAGTGCGATCTAGTGATGGCACTGCCAGTGAAAATCCTGTTAACTGTGGGATCTACTGATGGCACTGCCAGTGAAAATCCTATTAACTGTGGGGTTTACTGACAGCACTGCCAGTGAGCATCCCATTAATTGTGGGATTTACTGACAGCACCTCCAGTGAGCATCCTGTTAACTGTGGGATCTACTGACAGCACTGACACCGAGCATCCTGTTAACCGCAGGATCTACGGACATCACCACCAGCCAGTGACCCCCACTAACTCTGGAATCTTCTCACAAACAGGTGCTGCTGGCTCTGGGCCCTGCTGACAGCTCCTTCCCCATGGCTCACCCAGGCCAGCAGCGTTTCCTTCTCAGCCACATGGTAGAGCAGGCGCAGGGGCCGGTGCGGGCTGTGCACGCGGCTGTGCAGGTAGTGGTACAGGTCGAAGAGCCGGTGCTGCTCCTCCTCGCTGGTGTAGGGCTCCTCCAGCTCGGGACTGCGGCCGGTGAGGGAGGGAGGACAAAAGCGTCAGGTGAAGGTCAGGGACAAGCTCACCCCCCCAGTTCTGTCGTGTCCCCCCCATGCCCGCACCTGGTGAACTGCGGCAGCTGCTGCATCTCCTCCGGCCCCTCCAAGGGCTTGTAGAGGAAGTGCCGGAGCTCGGGGGCGCCGGGGCGGGACGGGCCGTACCCCGCTCCCCCTCGCACGGCCGCCGCCAGCTCGGCCAGCCAGCCCTGCGCCCGCAGCGTGTCCTCCAGCTGCCGCCGGCACGCAGCCGCCGCGTAGAATCCCTCTCGCTCCGTGGACAGCAGGATCAGCGTCACGCCCTCCTCCTCCTCCTCCTCGCCCAGCCGCGCCGCGTACGCGTAGAAATACCCGTCGGGGTTGAAGCGCGGCAAGCACACGGGGGTCCACACCTCGCCCGCCCCCGCGCCCGCCCCGCCGCCCAGCAGGTTGAGCAGCAGGTGGAGGTCACTGGCGCAGAGCCGCCCGCCCTCAGCAGCCGGTCCAGCACGGCCTCGGCGCCCGCCAGCAGCCGGCGCAGGTCGAAGCCGCGGCGTCGAGCGAAGACGCGGGCGATGCCGCCGCGGGTCAGCAGCGACAGGATCTGCTCGTGCACGAAGGCCAGCTCCCGCCGCAGCTGCGCCGCCGACTGCCGCGTGCGGGACACCGACACCAGCAGCAGCGGGCCCCGCTGCTCGAACACCAGCGTGCGGTCCTCTGCGGGGGAGAGAGGGGACACGGCGGTCACACGGGGGACACGGAAGGTTTGGGGGCAGCCAGATGTACCTGGACAGGTGGCATTTTGGGGTGTGCTGTTCTTGGAGAGTGGCTGTAGCAAGGTAGGTTTTCAGGGGGGTGGTAAGACCCAGGAGGGGGTTTGGGGGGGGAAGAGAGTTTTGGGGTGCTGCTTGTACCTGGGCAGACTCATGTGGTAGATTCAACTGTACCTAGGAGAGGTTTTTGGGGTGGGATGTTGTGTTTGGAGGGGGCTGTTTGGAGCAGGGCTGGCTGTACCTGTGGGGGCTGTTTCAGGGCTACCTGAGGGTGGGGCTGTGCAGGTTTGGGGTTACCCACGGGTGTGTCTGTATAAATTTGGGGGTTCTGTGTCCACCCCCCGCTGGTCCCGTACCGGAGCAGATGGCCCGGATGGCGTTGCCGCCGCTCTGGATGAAGGACACGAGGGCCATCATGACCCCCATGGTGGCTGCCAGCGCCTCCTCGTTGCCGTGCCGGGAGTAGATCGGCTTCCCTGCCTCGCTGAGCACGAACACGTGTTTGCGCCGCGCTCGCCAGCCCGCGGCCGCCACGTCCTCATCCGCGCCGCGCCGCCCGCCCGGGGCTGATGTGGCTGCTGCTGCCGTCACCGCCGCTGTCACCTCCTCCTCTTCCTCACCAGGGTGACACTCTGGGGATGTCACCGCCGCTGTCACCTCCTCCTCACTAGGGTGATACCCCGCGCCGCGCCGCCCGCCCGGGGCTGATGTGGCCGCTGCTGCCGTCACCGCCGCCGTCACCTCCTCCTCTTCCTCACCAGGGTGACACACTGGGGATGTCACTGCTGCCGTCACCTCCTGCTCTTCCTCATGGTGACACACTGGGGATGTCACTGCTGCCGTCACCTCCTGCTCTTCCTCATGGTGACACACTGGGGATGTCACTGCTGCCGTCACCTCCTGCTCTTCCTCATGGTGACACACTGGGGATGTCACCGCTGCTGTCACCTCCTCTTCATCCCCTACAGGAGGACATGCTGGGGACGTTGCTGCCACGGTCACCTCCTCACTGGGTTGAATGCCTGGGGATGTCCCTGCTGCTGTCCCCGCTGTTGTCACCTCCTCCTCCTTGTCCCCAAGGGGGGGACACCCCAGGGATGTCCCTGCTGTGGTCACCTCCTCCTCACCGGGATGACAGCCCTGGGACGCTGTGGCTGCTTCTGCTGTCACTGCTGCCACCACATCCTCATCCCTGCCACACGGCCCACCTTGGGATGCCATGGCCACTGCCACCTCCTCCTCCTCCTCACTGGGGTGGCACCCCAGGGACACTGTGGCTGTCACCACTGCTGCCACCTCCTTGTCCTCCTCCTCATTCCCAGCAGGGTGACACACGGATGATGCCATGGCTGCCGCTGCTGTCACATCTTCCTCCTCATCGTCCCCACTGTGGTGACAGCTCGGGGACGCCGTGTCCGCTGTCCTGCCCGGCTCCATCTCTGCCTCACCTGAGGCCAGCAGGGGGCGCCGGGGCGGTGCCTGCGCACCTGAACAGCCCCGCCCTGCCCCACCCTGCCCTCACCCAGGGCGGGGTCAGGGGTCCTGGGCACCTGTGGGGGAGGTGGGGTGGGGTCACAGGGGGCGTGGCTGCACAAGCCACGCCCCACCCCAAATCCACACCTTGTGGCCACACCTCCAGCCCCTCCCAGCCCTGGTGGTCTTCGCCTAGGCCACGCCCACTGACATCAAGCCACGCCCCAACAGAAGCTCACCCTGCAACGCCCCACACGTGCCTGTCTAGCCCCTCCCCTAAAGTGAAACCACGCCCCCAGCGCTAAGCCCCGCCCCAAATAACTTTAGCCCCGCCCCGGGAGCCCCGGGGCCACCTCGCTCCCTCACAAAGCCCCGCCCCCGGCGAGATCGCCCCCCGGGCCGCCCCCTCCCCACCGGCCCCGCCC